AAATCGCCCGATATGCGGGGATTACTGGGCTGTGATTGATGAAGTGGCGAATACACCCTGGTAAAATTTCGGATCAGCACTACGAAATGCGTAATCATCCTTGCCGAAGGTTGTCTGAAAAAGGCGGCGGAACCTCGAAAACGGCAGAGCCACGTCGCCGAGACGCCGGATAAGGTGACTACCTTTAGAGCTCGATCAGCTCGCCGTTCGAGGTTCATGGGATGATTATCTTGTGAATCGCTTTCCAAACATTCTTGGGGCCCATGGCCGCGCTCTTGATTGTGTGTCTGCCCAATTTGGACAGGTTTCAATACATCATGCCGAGCAGTCGCAGCGGGCGTTGTAGCGCCTGCCTTGAATGGGGACAAGACTTCAGACACACCAGGGCTAGGACGGGGGAATTAGTTCGGAGTTTTGTGGACGACGCTGGTATCGCAGACAAGTTTCCCGGCTTTCAGTCGATCGCCGCGCGCACAAACTTGCTCGCATTGTGTAAACGTGCGGGTTGCCTGCTGGAGCTGTACCAGAAGCAGGAGTGGGCGCGAAGCAGGGAACGCGTAGCGCGGAAGGCTAAGCAGATGCCGCGCCACAGCCGTATGTGGAGCGCCGCTCCTGAACCTGTCACGCATGACAAATGCCGGCGGCTTGATCGGTACTGTACTTTGCCGGAGGCGGTGGAGGTCCTGCAGAATGCCGTTGCAATAGCGGGTTGTGTCTTGGACATGTGCGGCGGACCTGAGGACGCGGTGGCACAGGGGTTTCGGAGCACGTGTGAAGTTCTCACGAACGACGTGAGCTCGAGGTATGGAGGTACTTCTTATGTGCGGTTTTCGAGTAAACCCGGTTTTCGATGTTACGTTTCCAGCAGTTTTGGGCGACATCATATGTGTATCGATTTCTCCTGATTAAACGCAAAGCAATACTCATTTTTATTTTTTACCTCTGCCGGTGTTTGTTTCCGTCCGCCATACAAGGCTATCGGCAGGTACCAACCTCGACGCGAGCTTGCTTAACGTGGACCACAATGATCATGATCACACATCCATCCTCCATCAATCGAAAAACACATGCATCCGCCAAACATTGCACAAATCCTAAAAGTAACAAACACCTCGTCAGGTGCGCATGCCATTATCGTGATGCCTGCTTCAAATCGTACAGACTCTTGCATAGCTTCACGATCAGTCCAGATAACCTACCACAACCTTGCGGGAGACGCATGAAAACATCCTCTTCAAGCTCAGACTGCACAAATGCCTGCTGAATATCGAAATGGCACAAGTCAAGGTTCTGCTCACATGCCAATGCTGCCAACAAACGCACACTAGACACGGACACGGTGGGTGCAAACAATTCTCCAAAATCAATCGAAGCCCTCTGCATGTCCCCTCGCGCTACAAGTCTTGCCTTGAATTTCGTCGGCCATCCGTACTCGTCTGCCTTACAGTTGAATACCCACTTCGCGTTGATGAAGTTTTCTACTGGTTGCTACACCGGACTAAAAGTACCTGCATCCAGCAGACCGAAAAACTCACGACCGACTGCATCATCCCACAACTCTGAATGTTGAGACCGCATGGCCTCCTTGAACGTTTTCGGCACTCGGAGGTCGTTGGCGAGGCAGTGAGGAAGGTCCGGCGTCTTGTCAGGAGGGCGCTTGGCACGAAGAGTGGCTTCCACATCCTCGCGGGTGGCGAACAATGCTGCGAACATGTGCAGGCCCCCCGGCCCCCCAGCTCCTGTTGGAAACTCGTGACTTCTGGAGAAATATGTGGTGTATTAATGAGAACTTGCCCGGAGAGACAGGTCGGCAAGGTGGAGTGAGCACGGTGGGCTGCGCTCCCCATGGCTTCTCGCTACAGCTTTTCCTCAGCAATAAATCTATTCGCTGCAATCCATTCGCTGCAGTCTACTCGCTGCAATCTACTGACCTTTGTGTTACGTTTCGTTACAATACCNATGCTGCGAACATGTGCAGGCCCCCCGGCCCCCCAGCTCCTGTTGGAAACTCGTGACTTCTGGAGAAATATGTGGTGTATTAATGAGAATACACCGCAATACACGTCATACATTCGATACTACAGCCACAATTCACGAACAGTCTCTTCCAGGGTAGGCGCGGACCCCAGGTGTTGCGAGCCGTCAGTGGTTGGTACCTTCGGTCGTCGGTATACCGCCTCGATGATGGATGGGTTCAACGTGGGAGGTTTAGCGTTGAGCAGAGAGTCCAAGAACCTCGCCCACCGTTATAAATCTCACCCTTGCTCCCCAGCATGCCACCATTCTCGTCTTAGACGGGATGCTGTCTCCCCGTCTGCCTCCCGTCTAGGCCTACTGAGCTCTTGAGGTCGTTGTACATTCCCCGCATGTCGCGATGTTCGAGGATGGATTCCATTCTAGCCACGTGCTTCTCCTGGTGGGCATAGATGCCGCCATCGATTGCTGTACGCACTGCCTTGCAAGCGGCCCGGAGGGCTCTCCATGTTGCTGGGTTCCGGTCTGTGTATGTTTTTCCCTTATATTTTTCCCAAAATCATATCTACAAGACTAGCAAGTTGTCACGAAGACACTGCGCCGTGTTCCCTATGAAGGTTACATTTTTAACACACGTACCGGAGCGATTCTTCCCTATATCTTGTCGTTAATCCAGTAGAGAACTAGCGAGAACTAGTACAGGGAATGTATTGTAAAATGTAGTTTACCTTTTTACAGATGGCTTTGTACTACCAGCTTGTATTACTGATATCACACGTGTTGCACGGGGCTCCGTACGAAAACAAGTCCGTCCAAAAATCGAAGCAGGGTACCCTTTTTGGTGACACCAACGGTCGGACCCCCTCGGCGGCGGCGGGTCCAGGGAGGCTTCACTCAACCACCCCGTTCTTCATGCTCAGGGAAGATACCGAGGCGAAGCTATGCGGGATCCTGGAAAACAACTTAGACTACACCTGTGAGTGGTTCACTGTTGCATTGCGTCCCTTGAATGGGAGAGAGACGCAGCGGACATGTGATGAACGGATGTTGTTCAACTTGGTTGCGCCGCGCTGGGAGGTGACCTTTGGTTGAAAGTTGTGACGTGATGCATGGGCCAAATCGCCCGATATGCGGGGATTACTGGGCTGTGATTGATGAAGTGGCGAATACACCCTGGTAAAATTTCGGATCAGCACTACGAAATGCGTAATCATCCTTGCCGAAGGTTGTCTGAAAAAGGCGGCGGAACCTCGAAAACGGCAGAGCCACGTCGCCGAGACGCCGGATAAGGTGACTACCTTTAGAGCTCGATCAGCTCGCCGTTCGAGGTTCATGGGATGATTATCTTGTGAATCGCTTTCCAAACATTCTTGGGGCCCATGGCCGCGCTCTTGATTGTGTGTCTGCCCAATTTGGACAGGTTTCAATACATCATGCCGAGCAGTCGCAGCGGCCGTTGTAGCGCCTGCCTTGAATGGGGACAAGACTTCAGGCACACCAGGGCTAGGACGGGGGAATTAGTTCGGAGTTTTGTGGACGAGGCTGGTATCGCAGACAAGTTTCCCGGCTTTCAGTCGATCGCCGCGGGCACAAACTTGCTCGCATTGTGTAAACGTGCGGGTTGCCTGCTGGAGCTGTACCAGAAGCAGGAGTGGGCGCGAAGCAGGGAACGCGTAGCGCGGAAGGCTAAACAGATGCCGCGCCACAGCCGTATGTGGAGCGCCGCTCCTGAACCTGTCACGCATGACAAACGCCGGCGGCTTGATCGGTACTGTACTTTGCCGGAGGCGGTGGAGGTCCTGCAGAATGCCGTTGCAATAGCGGGTTGTGTGTTGGACATGTGCGGCGGACCTGAGGACGCGGTGGCACAGGGGTTTCGGAGCACGTGTGAAGTTCTCACGAACGACGTGAGCTCGAGGTAAGGAGGTACTTCTTACGTGCGGTTTTCGAGTAAACCCGGTTTTCGATGTTACGTTTCCAGCAGTTTTGGGCGACATCATATGTGTATCGATTTCTCCTGATTAAACGCAAAGCAATACTCATTTTTTTTTTTTCCTCTGCCGGTGTTTGTTTCCGTCCGCCATACAAGGCTATCGGCAGGTACCAACCTCGACGCGAGCTTGCTTTCTTTTCGGGATAATTTCCGCAAAGCAAACCCCGGAAAGCAACCTGACTGGGTCGTCACAAGCCCTCCATACAAGGGTGCTGTGGGGTTTGTCAAGGCGGCTTTGGCAGTAGCGACGAAAGGCGTGGCGCTCAAACTGCCTCTGTCTTTCCTTGAACCCTGTGCCGATCGTGGTGGTTGGCTTGTAGACAACCCCCCAGCTGTATGCATTTTTTTACGGAGAGCCAAGTACACGCATGCTCACCATGTCAAGGTCGGAGAATTTTGGGGGGTGTGGTATACCGATGGAGGCTGCTGCGGCAAAAGCGGGGGTTCGAGGCTTGTGTTCTGCCCTGAATAGAAGTGCTGGGCGGTGGTGCTGGTTGAATGAAGAAGGGGCTACGCCTGAGTTCCGTGCCGCCGAAAGCTCCTGCTTGTGGCCCACAAAAGAAAACTTCGAAGATGGGTTAGGGTTAATTCAGAACCGCCACCGCGGTGCAACGCCATAAACAAACGCCCATCCTTGGGTTGAAATGCACCGATGACAACAACATTTGCAGCACCTTCGACAACAACAAGATGTTCCCGTCTCGAAACACCAACATTTAACTTTTTATTTTCCCCGAGTACCTTCACACAGACCTTTCATTTGTCCCTACCCCCGGTTCGCCCGGCAACACAACCAGCTGCTCTTGCGGGCTGGTCCAGTCCATCTGATCGAGCTGCTCGTACTCTGCAACATCATCCTCGCGAAATCCACCAATACTCACCCCCCCGCCCAAACCGACCACGCCAGGCAACATATCATCCTCATCATCGGATCGGTCGTCGTCGCTCTCCCCTTCTGTTGATTCTCCCCCACCTCTATCGAATAGCATGGCACTATCACAGGTCTCTTCCATGCAGCAAGCGCGTTTACATTTGCACAGCTCTGAGCAAATTGACCCTTTCAGTTTGCAGATGCAACTCGTGCATTGGCCCCTTCCCGGTACATCCGAACATCTACACTTCACCGTCTCAACCCCGCCCGGCCAGATGGTTACCTTCGGCTCTCTGCGCAACAGCATCTTACAACCACCGTCTATTTCTGGATCTTCCAAGTATCCCCTCATGTGCCACTCGGGTACTGCGATGGGATAGTTTCCAGAGGGTTCCGAACCTGCAGCACTAGCCGGCACAATCGAAAGCCAGTACTCTACCAGCCATTCCATCCGAAGCACACAGAGGTCGAGAACATCGTAGTTTGGGGCAGCCTCTCTGATTTTCCCTTGGCCGTAAGCTGCTTCGGATGTACGTACGTGGATTGCATGAACCCATGCCTCCGTTTCATCAACCGCCCCGTTTCGCTTTCTTGGATCAACAATAGGCTCTACCTGGTGCCCGGGTGGATATAAAAACAAGCCTGGTGCTTTTTGAAGTACCCTAGGGCGACAAACTTGATCAACTCTTCCCTTTTCAATGCCACCCCGTCAAACGCTCCATCCGTTGCAAACTCACCCAGCGCTTTTAGAAACCGATGGTTCTCGGGGTTCTTGACATACTCGAAATACGACTGGAACATAAAATGCGACGTAAAACCAAAAAAGGTCGGGGTGAAGTCCGTTCCGCAAAGCATGTAGGCGGCGATGACAGGCAAGCACTTCTGTAAGGGGGTAAACGAAGTTGGCCAACTCGTTAATCTCGTCAGCGCGTTAAATAGCTCAAGTACGTCGATGCAGGGAACGGCGGCTTGGTCGCATAAGCCGCTCTGCTGTCGCACCACTACACGCACGTTTCGAGTCCATGGATGCGCATTGTACGCGAGCAGAGCTGCAACTCAAACGTCCGTGTCCACTGAGACCACCTCCACTCTGATCGGTTCTCTCACGCCCGCCTCCTGTCCCTCGCGGCTGTCCTCCCTGAACTGCTGTTGTAAGAAAACTTGGAACACGTGGTGAAGAGCCAGGAGTTCCCCCTCCCCTAGACCGTTATCTTTTTATTCCGGAATTTCAGCGCCGTCCAGGTCGTTGTACCTATTCGTGCGTGTAATAAGATAACCGAAAGTAGCAGTAGAACGCAGATGGATGTACATGGTGTGTGGTGAGAGGCTTTCGACGATAGAACGGTCTACTTTTCCTGCTCCTTCTCCTTCCCTCCTCTTTCATGCGAGCTAATGTAAACAGTTTCACGGGAACCCCAAGTTCACCAGCCTACACCCAAGCTAGACTCACAAGCACGCTCACCATGATTTACACCCGAAAGTCCTCGGACAGCAAGGGCTCTCCGTCGATCCGAAAGCGTAGTTCATTTATGCAGTGCTCTGCCCACGCCAACTGAACGCCGTCTGCCTTTTTCTGACGAATGCAGCCAACCTGCCGACGAATATACTGACACAACACCGAACAGACACCGTCGCGGTTTTGCCGGTTCTTCAGAAATTCCTGCCATTCTGAAGACGGCGGAGTCTTGTCTCCCAAACCAAAACGGTAAGGCGCTTGCCTGTACAAGGGGCCGGATTGTTTCTTCTTGGACTTAACCCCAGGAAACAACACTCGGGCATTATGCGCAAAGCTCTTGGGGTTGGGCACCTTTTCCCTCCTGTCAAAACAAAGCACGATGCGCACGACGCGGCCTCGAAGTTTTTTCCCCTCCCTCGAGCACAGCCGCCATAGAAGCCGATCCACAATGTAGTTGGCATACGTCTCCCAGGTAAGTAGACGGTTCCTCGATCTACTCGTTGCACCGTACGCCAGGGGGGGGACTGAGTGGATGATGGTGGCCATGTCGACGGTGCACGTGTGTGGTACGGGGATGTCCGCTGGCCATTGTTTGGAGATTGCGCCTCCAGCGAACTTGGTGACGATGTCAATGGCTTTGGACTTCGAAAACCCCTGTATGCCGCCCTTGGAGTCCCCCATCTGTGAAGGCGGGCCAGCGACCATGGGCGTTCCGCCTGTGCCCAACTTCGAAAGCCTCGCAACATACAACTTGAGATCGCCAATGTGCCTAGCTGCCTTGCTGGAAACCCGCGTGATGGACTTCCTCCCTTCCGGTGCCGAGGAGAAAGTGGGCAATCGAACTTGCTTGCGTAGGGCGTCACGCTCTGACCTGTCGGGGTTCAGCACGCGGAACTCGCCCTTGACTCCATTCTCCCACATTTGTGCCAAGGTGTCGGGGGCTGCAACCCAGATGGGGAGATGAACTCATGGTCGGGGAGAGAGCGTTGACCCGCGCAGTTCACCGAACGAATTCTACACAAATACGCAGCTCTCGACCGTATTCATGTGATGTACAGGAGAAATACTCTGGTTTCAAACGCGAATACAAAGGAAACCATTTGCCTCATTTGTCTCACCGGGCACGTCTTGACCACCGTTTCTACGCAGCGAAACGGAGAAGCCGCGATGCGGCCGATCACGCCACGAACTCCGCCGACGACCGCCAAAGCCGCTGAGCGAAACATCTCGACCCCTCTGCGAAGAACCCCATGCCAAGCAGTACGGCGCTCCCTTCCTGTCTCCTCCGCCTTCGCCCCATTCCCCATTCCCGACCCCGTATGCGCACCATCCTCCTTCTCCGTTGCCTCAACCGTCTCCTCAACTACGTGCTTTCCTTCCTCCGCGTCCCCCGCATCCTCTTTACAATCCAGCAAGGTGTACGTATTGCCCGTATCAAACTTGGCCGAAAGGCTCGAGCCCTGCACGGCAAGATCAATGAAAACGTTGCCCTCAGATTTGTTGTCGATATTTTGAAAAGTGGTGGCAAAAATAAAACACACACACATATCACGACATGTTTCTACATGAAACACACCTTGTTGATGACGCTGCTCCTCTCGGCGCGCTCATCCATGCCTAAGCCACCACCACCACCCGCGGTCGTCGGGCGCCCATTCTTGCCCACAAGAACCCAGCCGTCTCCACCCTGCTTGACTGCGGCGGTCTTCTTGTCTGCGGTGGAAGGCTGCTTGATGATGACGGGCTCCTCGGCTGCGGCGGCGGGGTCCCTGGTTGCGACAGAGTCATCGTGGGCGGCGGGCTTGTTGATCACGCCAGGATCCGTCGCTGCAGTGGGCTCCTTCGCTTCTGCGGACTCGTTGGGTTCGGCGGGCTCCTTCACTGCGACAGGCTCCTTGTCTGCAGCGGGCTCCTCGGGGGCGGTGGCCTCCTCCGGGACGGTGGGCTCCTTCGCTGCAGTGGGCTCCTCGGGGGCGGCGGGTCCCTCCGGGGCGGCGGGCTTTTTCCCCGCGACAGGCTTCTTGGGTGCGGCGGACTCCGTTGCTGCGACGGGCTCCTCGAGGGCAGCGGCCTCCCCTGGGGCGGTGGGCTCCTTCGCTACGCCGGGCTCCTTGGCTGCGGTGGGCTCCTTCGCTGCAACGGACTCTTTGGCTGCCGGCTGGGGTTCAACCTTGAACACGGCTTCGAAGTGCCCACATGGGTGCCATATCGCCATCGGGAAATGTGGCTGCAGGTCGTTCCCGCCGTAACACGGAACGAGTTCCCCCTCTTTCGTCGCCTTCACGAGCCTGAAGCTTTCTAGACCTGATACGACAGCCGCGGCCTCCATGTGTTTCCCGTCCCAATGTCCACCGTCGTGTTCCGCCACCTTTAACCATGTCTCCCTGTTCAAGATGAGTAGGAGAGGGTTGGACATCAATTCTTCTATGGGCCTCTCCTGAACTTGGACGGTCTCAAAGAGGAAGTCATCAGTAAACTGTCCATCCTCCACCGTGGGGTGGATCCGTGCGCGTCCGAGACTGGCTACGTCGCGGCGAAGCTTTCGGATGTCAGCAAGTTGTTGCCGTTCCCCGCGGGATGTTCCGGGGGTAGCCCCGGCCTCGATCCGACGAAGATCGATGATGGATTGCGGACCACAATCTCCCCTGGCAGCGTTAGGCCACGGATTGAAACGCGTGCCATCCCTCAGACGATACATTTTTCACCTGTCATAGTGCAAATAAAAACAAAAAAGAGAGGGTGATGATTAGAAACTAGCTGCTTTACTAATAAAATGAACCCACATCCCAGTTGAAGGGTATTATGTTAAGTTAGGGCCGCCGTCGAACGGAAGAGCTACAGCAGTATATATGTAGAAATGGTGTGCATGATTGACTTTGTCCTGCGAGCAAGAAATTCAAATCTACGAAGACACCCACAGCAGTACGGCATGCACAAGGTAGCTTTGTGCAAAGTTGTACAGAGTACGAGCTACATCTAGGTTGCCAAAAGCAGCAAAATATATATGCAGTAGTATTGCAGACAAAGATGGACATCCCCACTCATTGGCACGGTGGACTTATAGTTGTCTCGCGACAGGCAGCGTACCATTCGACCGTTGCAAAATTCAAATTCAATTTCAAAGATCATGCTACAGCAGTATTTTGGCGTTGTTGGCGCACAAAGGGCTGCAGTGAGCATGTTGGATAGGAGCAAAACTTTTGGTTGTCACACATCAGCACGCGGGGTGCTTGGCTCAAAGCTGCGACCCATACAGCAGCAGTAGCAAGGGTCTCTGGGGAGCTTTCGCGCCAGCGACACATGAGGTAGTCTACGCGGACACAGCAGCAGCAGTGCGCGTATCAGCATTTCACATAATAATTCGAACGACCCTCCGAGCCTCTGGCACTAGAACCACCACCCTAGCACTGCCTCTATGTTTCCCTCCCACCTGAGTCCAGAAGATCCCGCTTCCGACCCACGGCTGGCGTACAGGATGTCCTCTCAGAGCAGGTCAAGATCGAGCGGCGCAACCAGATAACGGAAGATACCACGCTCCCGGACTGAGCTTTACGCCAAAGTTGTGCTCTGAGCTTTACGCCAAATCGGCCGACCGTTGGAGGGTGTACTCCTTGGTGGACGAGGTGTCGAAAACACCCTGGTAAAAATTCGGATCAGCACTACAGCGGGAGATGTTGCCGACTTTCTGTCATTTCCTATGGCTAAGAAAGATTCGGGGGATGGGGGGGGTAGGGCTTTTTTTGGACGTAAAAATCACCGAAAAACGCTGTACGGAGCCCCGTGCAACACGTGTGATATATATCATCCAAACAAGGCCAGTACCCAGCCGGTTTTCCTCCCCCCCCACTGAAAATACTGTACCACATCCTTTACCACATCCCGTTCGAATGTGGGTATATCTCGAACGGGTAGTCTATCTGTGTGTGTATATGCTTTACATTAAACATAACTTTTTCTCAGACGATGTGTGTGTCAAAGAATGTTGTTGAGACGTTTCGAGCCGTGTTGCACAGTCTAGCGTCGCGAGGGGAGCAGCGGCAGTGTTGGGTGGGGTGGATCTTAACTGACTGGTACAAATCTGGGTTGTGATAAGCAGCGGAAAGAGAGATGTTCATGTAAGCTACAAGATCAATGGGGAGAGCACCTTTGCACGAAACTCGATACGGCCTCCCCGCTTTGCCTCCAGTCTTATCGGAGAGGGCAAGAGTACATATATATGTGGTACCACGGTAGGGATCCGAATACCGGCTGCTCCAAACACAAAGGTAGGCTTGCGGTATGGATCAAACTGAGAGTGTGGGAAGATGCCTTCCTGACCAGCAGCTCGAACAACGCACATTTGGAAGACCACCGAGGTTGTTGTAGACTCTTGGGTCTGAGACAGAGAGGAATTTTTCACCTGGTCAGATGACGTCACTTGATGTGAGATATAAAGAATATTGTTTCCATGTGTCATGATGGATGAAATACTCACCGCAAACACAATCATCACATTCGTTCCTGCTGTATCGCTTGCTCAACGCCTCGGCCTGAAGTTGCTCCAAATTTTATGGGAACATCGCTTTCGAGGACGAAGGTGGGGGGAAGCTGGGGTGGGCCTTTTGTGGAAGGATTCTCCTTCGTACGCATCACCCTAATTAAATGCTCGCAGACGGTCGTCGTCTACCGTCGGTAATGTTTTTTTGAAAATAGACTACGTTTGTAAAATATGAACAACGAAATCCGTTGTTTAAGATTGTAGACTTGAGTATTTGGCGGATGTGAGTATCGCGCCGACCATGTAAGACGTCATGCCATGATTCCGGGAGGGTCCTCACTGCATTACGCGTCGGAGAGACCGTCTGTCCAGTAGTATTGCTGTAGTTGCGGTCAGGAATAACGCCTACGCAAGCAGCCAGAACACGTAGTTTCGTACATGTAGTTACGTAGTACAGCAGATGCTTTGGCAGCGCCTACTACCTGGAGAACGTGTGTGAGTGTGTTTTGCTTGACATAAACACGGGGAAAAGCACCCTGTGTACAGCGGGTTACCAGGACACCAGCACATCCCCGGCATTCGGGGTACACTTCATACAGCACCCGCGAGGGTGTGCCCGCCACTACTGTAGGATCATACAGGAGGCCTAACGCGACCAATACACAACTGCACGAGTGCACACGGTATATGCGATATTGTAGCAAGCATCAATCCACAATCACACAAAAAATAGAATGGTCGAGAGGTCCCGCACAAAATATTTGACAACATCGCAGATCTACTGTACCTCTTTCTTCACCTTGTGCCCCCCCCTTCATGTACAATACTATACTGCGGCAACGAAAGCCCCCCCGCCCCCAATGGGCGGGGGTGGCACAACGGGAAGAGCGTGGTCTAAATGATGGCTCGGTAACGACGTACTTTTGAGGTTTTTGTGAAAGGGCGGCGACTCTACAGCGCGATGGTTGGAATAGCCTGATATGAAGATAAAAAAATATGGCGGTTGGCGCTCCGCGGCTTTTTGTGAAGGACGTGATGGTGCGTCGTCTTCGTCGGTAGTGGGGTGTCCAGACCTTTACTTGTGGTCGATGGCAGCGGAACGCGATCGCGTGTGTGTCTTGATTATTAGCATCGACCGCGCTGACCGGCTGACCAATGAAATTACGTTAGTCTTCGTGCGAACGTGTGTACCTGTCGCAGCCTTCGGCGAGACTGTTGGGAACGCGATGCGGAGACCGGAGAACGATCTTGATGTTCCGTTCGAAATTTATTCTCGAGCGGGTCATGCACGCTTCGTGTTAAAGCATTCCATACAACCAACAAGGGCTTCACCATTTACGTCCAGGATTCGGTGCCGCAATAGTCGATACCTGTACTCTAATGTCGTGTACTGTCTGTAGTAAGAATTGTCACCATACGCCCAAGCTGGTTCACTGAATATTCAACATGAAAACCTCACGCCGTTGTTAGGAGTTGGACGTTGAAGCGTGCACACATGTACGTTGAGTAGATGCGAAACGCTATGTGGAGTCACGTTCTTTCCTATTTTCCCTGTCGCCGAATATCCGGGGTCCGAGGGGTTTCGGGGTCATGTGCGGCTCCTGAGACCCCGAACAACCGGCGACCTTGGAAGAAATTATAACGGCGGCTCCACACAGCGTTTGGCATGCACGCAGTGTACCTGTGTGCAAAAGTTCAAAGTCCAAGTCCTAAGAACGGCGTGAGGGTTTCAGCTTCTGTGCCATGAAGTATTCCACATCCTGACTTCACCCGAAGCCAATTTTTTTGTATGATGGGATATATCCGCGGGCCCCATTTACACCACAAAGCCCTGTCTTGCGCCAGCTTTACAAGTTATCCCACAAAGCTTTCTGAAAAGTTTCATTGAAATATCCCGGAGCGGGAAAAAAGAATGTTCACATTCATTCAGGTACAACAAGGTTTTCGTGTGATTGAGAGCGAAGTTTCTGATTGAGAGCGAGATTGCGCGATGCGCTGTAGCTGGACTACCGCTGAGAGGTGGAGCTTGCTGCGTGACTTGAATTGAAGGCCTAGCCCGTAGCTACAAGCCGATACCCTGGTCAACCTGTGGGCGTCTCTCGTTGTGGAGCTACAGCGGGGAGCAGAATCTACAGCAGAGCTCACCGCCCGCGATCAAGTCGCCCTGAAACAGTTTGAGGCAGGAATAGCCAATCTGGGGAAATCTAGCAACTTGTCTAGCTCCTAGCTGCAGCATCCGATCGCGATGACACGCATATGCTCGTGACGCTGCTGATGAGACCTTCAATTTGCGCCGCTTCTTGGAAGAGCCCGCCCCCTACTTCCCAAGAAATGGCAAGTAAGAGGCGTCTGAACCCGAAATTTCAAATTTTTTGGCTCCCGCTCTCAATCGTATACTCCGCTCTCAATCAGGCGAAAACCCTGTTGTACGTGGATTCGACTTTCGGGGGTCCCACTCCGAGGACCCTTCTAAACTGGTCAAGAGTCCCCACATTCCTTCATTTTGTTTTTCGGGTTGGGGCACGTTGGTAAACCCTACTGTCACATTTGAGGACATATTATTGTTTCGTTGGATATTTACAAGGCAAAACCAACACGAAGAGTTCTGTGTATTTTATCTAGCAGTACGTCCAGCGAAAAATTTGACAATCAATCGCGGCCGTCCGAACACATACGTGTTGGGTAACTCGCGTCCACACTTACTTACCAATTTCTCGGTTTTTTTTTGTTGCGTGCCCTAGAGCACTTCGTGTCAATACTTCGGTAGAGAGGGGTTTGTAGTAGTAGTGTGGTGTTGCATGGATTCATTGTTTTATATCATGTTGAAAGAATCTGATTGGCCGAGGAACATTTAAGTCTGTAGCTTTATGGTCATGGCTCTGATCGTGATTTCGACCACGATGATTTTTTCCCTTGCACATGGGCGTCATAGACACCAT